GACGATGTCTCAAACTGTACGGGATTTCTCTCCTGGATTGGTCTCTTCTAGACCGGTCTGGGCTTCCGTTGTTGTTGTTGAAGATCGGGAACCGGTTTTCCCGTGAATTCTCCTTTGCTCCTGAGATTGTATGGGCTTGACCTTCCTTGTTGTATCCAGCTTGACTGAAATGGCCTTTCTTCCTCTGGTTTTGGCCTCGAATCTCCGGCTGGAAATTGTCCAAAGTGGTGATGTGTTCTTCTACCTCTCTTCTTGACTTGTTCAGTCGACTTGATGGACGATGTGAGCCTTCTCTTTTTGTTCTCACGGACTGGCGGTTTTCTTTTTCTGTGCGGACCCTCAGACAGTGACTCCGGGACCGCTCGCTTCCACCTCCTCATCTCCTGATTTCGTGATCTTCTTTTCTGTTGCCTAAACCTTATTGATGAATCATTAAATTCACTGGGTTGTTTGCGCTTGTTCCCCCTTATTCCTCTCTGATCACTTTTACTCCCAGCACCACTGGTCTGTTTCCTCTTTTCTACCTGTCTTCCACCCGACTCACTATTCCTAAAGCCCTGTGACCGATCTAACCCAGATCGGCTCTCCTCCAAGCTACTCGACTGATACTCGAATCCGATGCTAACTAAACTATCAACATCCACCACACCCTCATCACTTTTTCTCTGATGGTAAATTCGTACTTGGTCTATATTAACCGTACTTCTTCTACCTGCCTTCCAAATTACAACATTATTATTTTGAACACTCAAGACTCTATAAGGGCCTTCGTACTTGGGAAAAATTTAGCTACTACCTTTTTACTGGCAGAGCTTATGGGATGCGTTTCAACAAGCACTAAATCATTGACCTTAATGTTAACTTCGCGTCTCCTTCTATTGTAGTACTTCGCCCACTTTCCATGTTTCTTTCTAGTATTCTGCCTAGCTTCCTCAAACACCCTTCAAATATTCCTAACCACAAATTCTGCGCCATCAGTCGCCATCACAAGTTTTGAAACGGGGTAATAAGTTTTCTGCCTAAAATAACTCTGCTGGAGTTTTCCCCGTGGTCTCGTGAACTGCTGTTTGCAAGGCTTAGGCAAATTCTCTTGGAAACTGTCCCAGGTCTCATGATTATCATTTATAAAAGTAGCAATCGTTTGTAAGAGATCACGATTAACTCTTTCTGTTCTATTTGACTGAGGTCTGTACACAACTGTTTTGACATACTTTATATCTAATCTATTACTTAAATGCTCAAAAACTTCGGATACAAATTGGGGACCATTATCGCTAATTAATTGAATCTGAGCTTCATATCGCGAAATATAATTTCGAACAGGGTATTGGCAATTATCTTTGCGGAAGCCTTTCGGAGGGTATTACTTCCAACAACTTCGTAAAAAGTGATCTGTTATTACTAAAATATATTTATATCGTCCAGGTTTCGACGCTGGGTAGGGGCCTAACAAATCTAATGAAACTATTTCATTCGGATAATTAGTTACAATCGGTATTAGACGACCGGCCGGTAACGCGTTCTTATAGTTATGCTTTTGGCGCAATTTTCATGTCAAAACATAATCGTATATAAACTTTCTTATATAGGGAAAATAACAAGCACACCTGACTCGTAAATACGTTTTTTTCTTTCCGAGATGTCCAGCCATAGGCTTATCATGCAATTCACGCATTATCTCACCCCCAGTGACCGTGGAATATATATTCTCAGTTCTCAGAGAGTGGTTGCATACTTCGCATAAAATAACAAATTATTTACTAGTTTAAAATCTCGAGACCAATTTCCACAGACTGACGCATTCACCAAGCTGTCATCAGGGTTTTCCAAATAACGGTATATTTGTTCTAACTCAGGATCCTGTCTTTGTTCGGAAATCAACTGCTCCTTGACGAAAGTACCAAATCTCTAATCACTGCACAAGCTATAGTTTCACCCCCAATACTTAAACTATTAAAGGACGTTTTTGATTCTCTCATTTGACTTTCCTTCAGTTTCGTATTTGAAAGATCAATTTCTAAATTCCCCTAACCGATTGTTAATTCTTCAATTTGCGAATCCGGAATCGCTAATAACTTTTTATCAAAATTCAATGTAATTTTTGACCCCCTTATAAAATCAACCCCTAAAATACAAGGTTATTCTAAATGAACCAATATATGAAAATTCCACTTTTTCTTAAATTCCCCAATTCTGATCTCCAATTCTACCATTCCTACATTGTTACAACAGGCACTTTGAGCCGTCACGACCTTGGCGTGAGACTTTTTAACTGGCTTGTAAAAAATATGCCTGATACGTTTTTTCCAGATATAAACGAGTTCTTGGCCCAGTATCCCATAATGCTTTCGTAAATATGTTGTTCAACAAAATGGGTACGTTCGGAAGTTCCACAGGGGACATTCGTAAAGCGGAAAGCCTCATAGGAGGATTCTCCTCAACCTGCGATCGATCATCTTCTCGAACGCTTAAAAATTTTAAATTTTTATGATTATTTATGGTTAATTTTTATTATTTTATGGTCCAATGATTATTCGCACATCGGTCAAAATTGTCACTCGGATCCCTATTTCTAAACTGATACCGACCGCCACGATTCTAGAACCCGCGATCATTTCTGTCAATGCGGTTCCTTTTCTCGAAACCCTTGGTTAACATGTTTCCTCTGGAGTCTATTCCCATATTGAACTTCTATAAGCATCTCTTCTGTCATTTCGACGTTCAACTACCCCTGCATCTCTCCAATTTCTACTTCCACGACCGTCCGTAGACCTAATACTCACATCCCAAACTCGTCTTTCACTATTACTATTACTCGAACCCTGGTTGTCTCTCCTGAAATATCTATCTTCGTACTTTTTTATCATCTGGAGTAATTGAGATCGAGAAGTTGGATTTCGAATCTCAATGTATTCCATGAACTGGGGCTCTAGACGAGATATTATGTATTCTATTAGTTTGTCCTCTGACATATTTAGCCCCAGTATTTTGTGTATTTTGAGTAAGTCATAAATGAAGTCCGATGGAGCTTAACTGTGACCCTGATTCGACGAATAGAACTTGACTTCTAATTCAGTCTTATTCCTAACCACTGAGAAATTTTCCGTCAATGCCTCCTTTAATTGCTCGAAATCAGTATCTTCCCCTACACCGACACAGATCCAAATACTTCGTACCAGTCCAAAGCACGTCCTCAGAGACCAGGGCCGCCACATGGGGTGGCAAAATTGTTCACCGCACAAGGGCGCCTGGGGCAGGGGGCGCCAAAATTTATAGTACTTATAGTTTTTTTTTTAATTTAATGTTACTTACACAAAAAGTTGTTAATAAAAAACTTGCAATTTTGCATATTTTATGTTTTCTTGGCAATAAAATAAGATTTTATTTTTTAAATTTTATACTTTAATTTAATTTAATTTTGTTTTCGTTTGTGTAAAACAAAATTTGATTACCGATACGTCTATAAAAACACGTTCCGTGTGGAGTTCACGCTATTATATGAAACGTGTTCAAAATCTAAGAATTTATAACATGTAACAACAGGAATTGGGAATGATTTGTATCGGCATAAATTTTTATTCATTATATGATGAGAAGATGATGTGGCTCAACGTCGAACTTAATATTTATCTAATTAGTGCGCTTATAATTAAAGTCGTATTGCATCGTGTGTAGTTTTACCATCAAAGTACATTATAATTGCATTCAGTACATTGTTGTTGTAAGAAGTGGGGCGCGATGAAAATTATGACTGAAAATTGGGTCGCAAATATTGAAAGTTTGAGGAGCACTGCTTAATAGCGATCTACAACACTCTTTTTGATATCATGAATTCCTTTAGATTCTAAGAAAGATATCTATACACAAGGGCAGCCGAATTTGTGATCTTCCAAATTTAATAAGTGGCGTCGATGGTTCAATGGTAGAATGCTCGTTTCCAAATCAAGTGACCCGGGTTCGATTCCCGGTCGGTGCAATAGAAATGTTTTTCCCTCAGAGGACTCGCCTTCTTTAGGTGAGTACGGGTGTCACAGTCCCGAGGTGCCCTAGTGATCTTTTCCTTTTCCCACGGGGTTTACTGTCTTTGGTAAACACGGGCTTCACGAACCCGGGGTACCCTAGTGATCCTTCTCTATTTTCGACCCTCTTTCTTGTCATTCAATTCATTCTTTCTTTCTCTCTTCCCGTCTAGACCACAGATATTAAAACAAATGTTTGGCGCAGTATAGCCGAAATCGGCTCTTGCGCCAATAAACCCAAAATCACTCACTCACCCAAATTTAATAAATAATTATAAAAGGTTGCAACACATAACTGTAATCGTCGCAATTCAGTTGAAAGTAATTTCGAATTTGTAGGGATTTCACCTCTAAATTCTTTTCGTTGTTTGTTCAGTGTTGCGAACTTTACTTATTGAAAAACTCTTGTTATTTTCAATATTTTCTATAGACTGTTATTTGAAAATAAACTTCAAGTTCCATGAAAAATCTTACCATACTTATTATTACATCTTAAAAAACCTACACAAGAAGCAATTTCCTCCTAGTTACATTCTATTTTTAATAACAATATGATTCATAATATCATCATTCCTGTTTCAATATTTCGCAATCTTCTCGTATGATGAAGGAATTTTACTGATGTAATTTTGTCCCCCCCCTCCTCTGCTCTTTTGCGGATATATATTTTTAAATAATTATAATAATATTTTAATAAATTTTCTTGTTCATGCATATTTTTGTATCATTTCCTATCTATCTCCTTGGACTATTTTGTACCTCTAAGCCCTCTGTTGGATGCGAGTTTGATCCTCCCGAATAAATTAATAGCTAGGGATTCTCCAACGACGTTTTATAGTGTAGCATTACGCTTCTGCTTCCTTTTAACGTCAGTAAATACTCGAGCACATACAAATCGTATTAGATAAATTATGAAACCAAAATTATAGATTACAAAAAAAAGAAAGAAAGACAGAAATCAAGTGGGGTGCGTTTAATCGCAAAAAAAGCCAAGAAAGAGAAGACTGTAAGTAAAAATTGTAGCTTTGTATATATTTAAAATATTCCCATATTTTTATATTTGATAGAATTCAACCAAGATAGAGCCCTCATTTTTTTTGTACTAGGGCCTTTAAATACCTAGCTACGCCACTGCCTTCAAGAAATCACTTTTTTTCAAAGAGAGAGAGAGTCGACGCAATTTTAAATCAGTAATTTCTTCAATTTTACTCCATTTCTTTAAAACTGCAAACAGTAATTATGACTTTACTTTTGATTTATTTTGTATTTTCCCTTGGACTTAAAAAAATGTACAAACTTTTTTATCATATTAAAATAAAATCAAAACATACATTTATTATTTGCTTTCCTTTACAAAGGAGACAGTGAAAATAATGTCCTGCTTAATGAAATCTAATTAAAAAAAATTTTATTTTGTAAATTTTCCGTGTTACATAAGCTAATTTTAAGATTTTCGTTTATATTTATATATATATATTTCAATGTATTTTTATAGTACTTTTATGTTGATTTATATGCATCAATACTTGTTTTCTTTGCTGGAATACATCTTCCAAAAAACACACTTTTCTATGCAGGAACGGTTTTATAAAGTTTAATTATTAGTGTAAACATGAAATTTCAAAAAAGTAGTACTTAAGGTAGAACTGGCATTGAATTTTGTTTACGAAACTTCAAAGTTTAATTCTTAGCATTGATATTTTGACACTGATTGCACTTGCATTGAGCTATAGAGAAATAAAAATAAATAAATAATATCTGCAATATTTCTTCATTTTTGAAGGAATGCAAAATGTTAATGCCTGTGTGTAAAACTTTATTTAAATAATATAAAAATATTAATTGTAGCAATAATTGGATTAATTAATCGGATTGTTGCTGGGATGGGGGACCTTTTACCCGGTAGCTCATATCAAGAAGGTGTCTGATACTTTCGATATCTTGTTTCACTAACAACTGGTTCTTTCTTAAAAGTATACCGATCCCCGGTCTAGAATTCACTTAACTTTATAAATTCTCTGAATTTTTCTTTATAAAAAATAATAAAAATAAATGCAGTAAAATATTCTTGATTCAAATGATACTACAGAAAAACTAGCTTTCAGAAACAGAAAGATTTGCTTTCATAATAAACAAGGAAACAAAAAGTTGATTGTAAATTAATGTTTGCAACATGTGTAAATGATAGAAAGACTGGTTAATATGAAATTTTTTTGCCTTAATTTTGTAGAATTATTCTTTATTGAAAATTTCATTTACCTTTTTGTACAACGTTTGTGATGTGATTTATATTTGCACAATTCATCATATTCTGAGTATAATACTCTTTATGTCTTATCATACAAAGATTTAAAAATTCAAATTTATCGTAACCAGATTATTCACTGAACATTTAGTTACTGAAATACACCCATTTGTGTTAAAATTATTCTTACTTTTTGAGAAACATATTACTCTGGAATACCTTACTCATATCGCAAAGCATTTGAAATTTACTTCAGATCACAAAAAGAGGGGGGGGGGGGAGAAACAGGGTTTTTTTTTCATTTTTGAGAATTTTTTATTTTATGTACACGATATCTTACTTTTTCATAGCTGTAGAGTATCATTGAAAAAATCAACTAATATACAACAGTTCTTCGAACATTGTACAATCTTAATGTCTTAAATATAATCCAATATAAAACAAAAAGTGAAAAAATTACAAAAAATTGTTAATGTACTTTATGTACGTTATGGAACAGTTAATGTACATTAACTTTTACGAAAAAAAATTCATGCCAAGCATTATATCTGCACAATATTATTTTTTTAAAAAAAAGAGTTGAATAATAGTTCTTAAAAAATGATACTATCTTTTGTAAGGTATGTATACGATGTAACTTTTCAAACATACAAAGATCAAAAAATATTCTTGCATAAGTACTATTGCATAAATTTTCATTAAATTTGTAAATTTTTTATACATATTACAAACATTGCCAAACAATTCAACCAAATGACAAAGAAATTCTAAAATTAAAATTTTAGATATTCCTCTAACAATCAAACTGAAGGGAATTTTAATGAATTGCAATAAAAAAATTTTTTTTTAATATTCACAGTAAAATTAGGTTTTGTAATTATTAAAAATTTCTATGTAAACATTAATTTACAGGCAGAAAATTTGCGAGCTTATAGAAGAGAGTAACTGAGTACACCTGTAACAATATATATTTTCTGCAGATTAAATTAGTATGAGTATTTGTATTGAGTTATGAAATAAAAAAACAGTACGCGTCAGCACCATATATTAGAACAGAGGATCTCAAACTTGTCATGTTTTTCGATCTGGACCCTTGCTTACTTAATATTGAATTTTTGCAAATTCCTGAACTTCAAATGTGTTTTGGACAGTAGGTAGCTCGCTGCTATTTTAAAAACACATTTACTTTTCTATCTGTAGTGAGTGTTGTGTGAAAAACTAAAAAGTACATGTTAATTTTAAACATTTATTAGATAAAAATTAAAATTTAGTACCTGTTACACAGAATAAGAGAGCAAAAACAAATGCTTTTTTGACGCTTTAGTAACACAATTTAATACTTAACATAAATTTAGTTAGGGGTTTTACCTTAAATCTCTCTCTCTCTCCTCGGTTAATGTCCAGTCTATTTTTTTCCATAAAAAGAAACAAATTAAGAAAAACTTATCTTTAAAATTAACAAAATAATTCAAAAATCAACTTTTTATTTATCTCTATAAAACCCATATAAATCTTACCCTAAATTGGGCAGAATTTGATTTATCTATTACTTATACACAATTTCAATTTCCAAATAATCAAAAAAAAATACTAATAATTATAACTTTTTCACTAAATGTTTATAATTATTATGTACCTGAGATGTGTGTTTTCAATATTTCTATTGCTTATAACAAATGCTTTTTAGTAATTTTTGGTTTAATTTAATTAAATATTTTAAATTACAGAAAGAAGAAAAAATTTCACACTAAATTCTAAAAAATAAATTTTCTGGAAAAAAAATATTGTTTCCAAATTTTCAGTTAAATTAGCTTCTTTACCTGTATCTTTATTTAATAGCAAATGACATAAATGGAGTTTCAAATAACATATTGAGAGAAAATCATATGATGCATTTTGTAAATGAAATGAAAATTAAATTTTTTTTAATTTAGTGCAATAAATATTTTTTTAGATACATGTTCTCAAAAAAAGAAAAAAAAGTCTGGAGCACAAAATAGAATAAGGAAATTGCAACGAGAGAAAGCTAATCAGGAACTGGCGGGATCTCTAAATAAATATCTCAGAAACACAACAGGATTAGACGGTTAAGCAATTGAACCAGGACCATCAACATCCGTCATACTTAAAGTTTATCTCAAAATGTAAATTTCACAGAATATTATCAAGAAGAAACCACGATTGTACCAATAGAAAACTTAGATGTTGAAGTAGAAAATTCCACCCGATAATAACATATCTCAAAACGAAGATTTTGACTTTGTGTTAAGCGATCCAGCTACCTGGCCTGATACAATTTCTATAAAAATTAGAGATTATTTAATTGAAAATGGCCCTTCCCGCTTGATAACCAAACATTTTCCGAGAGATAATTCTGGCAGAAAGTTTTCAGAATCGTTCTATTATCGAACATTACCGAATGTAGAAACTATTTAGTATATTCAAATTCCCGAAACGCAGTATTTTGCTCTCTCTTCCCATGTAAACTATTCAGTGAGAAGCATTCACAGTTTATTAAGAATGGGTGTAATGATTGGGCACATTTAACCCACATTTTAAAAACACATGAAAGTAGTGCATCTCAGCTTAAACATAGTTCACAAAATGCAGTGAACTCAAAATGTCTTTACATAATTTATGCACCACTGATGCAGCTCAACAAAGATTTTATGAGGCAGAAAAGGTCTATTGGCAATCGGTTATTGAACGACT